TGTCTGTCTATATCTGTCAGTTTATGCTTGTGCCTGTATGTCCCTGTATGTGTGTCAGTTTATGTCTGTCTCTGTCTGTCAGTTTATCCTTGTGCCTGTATGTTCCTTTATGTGTGTCAGTTTATGTCTGTCTCTGTCTGCCAGTTTATGCTTGTGCATGTATGTCCCTTCATATGTGTCAGTTTATGCCTGTCTATATCTGTCATTTTATGCTTGTGCCTGTATGTCCCTTTATGTGTGTCAGTTAATGCCTGTCTATATCTGTTACTTTATGCTTGTGCCTGTATGTTCCTTTATGTGTGTCAGTTTATGCTTGTGCCTGTGTGTCCCTTTATGTGTGTCAGTTTATGCCTGTCTCTGTTTGCCAGTTTATGCTTGTGTCCCTTCATATGTGTCAGTTTATGCATGGCCTGTATGTCCCTTTCTATGTGTCAGTTTATGCTTGTGCCTGTATGTCCTTTCATATGTGTCAGTTTATGCTTGTGCCTGTATGTCCCTTTCTATGTGTCAGTTTATGCCTGTCTCTGTCAGTGTATGCTTGTGCATGTTATGTTCCTTCATGTGTGCCAGTTTATGCCTGTCTCTGTCTGTCAGTTTATGCTTGTGTCTGTATGTCCCTTCATGTGTGTCAGTTTATGCCTCTCTCTGTCAGTTTATGCTTGTGCATGTTATGTTCCTTCATGTGTGTCAGTTTATGCCTGTCTCTGTCAGTTTATGTTTGTGACTGTATGCCCCTTCATGTGTGTCAGGTTATGCCTGTCTCTGTCTGTCAGTTTATGCTTGTGTCTGTATGTCCCTTCATGTGTGTCAGTTTATGCCTATCTCTGTCAGTTTATGCTTGTGCCTGTATGTTCCTTCATGTGTGTCAGTTTATGCCTGTCTATATCTGTCACTTTATGCTTGTGTCTGTATGTCCCTTTATGTGTGTCAGTTTATGCCTGTCTCTGTCAGTTTATGCTTGTGCCTGTATGTCCCTTCATGTGTGTCAGTTTATGCCTGTCTCTGTCAGTTTATGCTTGTGCCTGTATGTCCCTTCATGTGTGTCAGTTTATGCCTGTCTCTGTCAGTTTATGCTTGTGACTGTATGCCCCTTCTTGTGTGTCAGTTTATGCCTGTCTCTGTCTGTCAGTTTATGCTTGTGACTGTATGCCCCTTCATGTGTGTCAGTTTATGCCTGTCTCTGTCTGTCAGTTTATGCTTGTGTCTGTATGTCCCTTCATGTGTGTCAGTTTATGCCTATCTCTGTCAGTTTATGCTTGTGCCTGTATGTCCCTTCATGTGTGTCAGTTTATGCCTGTCTCTGTCAGTTTATGCTTGTGCCTGTATGCCCCTTCATGTGTGTCAGTTTATGCCTGTCTCTGTCAGTTTATGCTTGTGCCTGTATGTCCCTTCATGTGTGTCAGTTTATGCCTATCTCTGTCAGTTTATGCTTGTGCCTGTATGTTCCTTCATGTGTGTCAGTTTATGCCTGTCTATATCTGTCACTTTATGCTTGTGACTGTATGCCCCTTCTTGTGTGTCAGTTTATGCCTGTCTCTGTCTGTCAGTTTATGCTTGTGACTGTATGTCCCTTCATGTGTGTCAGTTTATGCCTATCTCTGTCAGTTTATGCTTGTGCCTGTATGTTCCTTCATGTGTGTCAGTTTATGCCTGTCTATATCTGTCACTTTATGCTTGTGTCTGTATGTCCCTTTATGTGTGTCAGTTTATGCCTGTCTCTGTCAGTTTATGCTTGTGCCTGTATGTCCCTTCATGTGTGTCAGTTTATGCCTGTCTCTGTCAGTTTATGCTTGTGCCTGTATGCCCCTTCATGTGTGTCAGTTTATGCCTGTCTCTGTCAGTTTATGCTTGTGCCTGTATGTCCCTTCATGTGTGTCAGTTTATGCCTGTCTCTGTCAGTTTATGCTTGTGACTGTATGCCCCTTCTTGTGTGTCAGTTTATGCCTGTCTCTGTCTGTCAGTTTATGCTTGTGCCTGTATGTTCCTTCATGTGTGTCAGTTTATGCCTGTCTATATCTGTCACTTTATGCTTGTGTCTGTATGTCCCTTTATGTGTGTCAGTTTATGCCTGTCTCTGTCAGTTTATGCTTGTGCCTGTATGTCCCTTCATGTGTGTCAGTTTATGCCTGTCTCTGTCAGTTTATGCTTGTGCCTGTATGCCCCTTCATGTGTGTCAGTTTATGCCTGTCTCTGTCAGTTTATGCTTGTGCCTGTATGTCCCTTCATGTGTGTCAGTTTATGCCTGTCTCTGTCAGTTTATGCTTGTGACTGTATGCCCCTTCTTGTGTGTCAGTTTATGCCTGTCTCTGTCTGTCAGTTTATGCTTGTGACTGTATGCCCCTTCATGTGTGTCAGTTTATGCCTGTCTCTGTCTGTCAGTTTATGCTTGTGTCTGTATGTTCCTTCATGTGTGTCAGTTTATGCCTGTCTATATCTGTCACTTTATGCTTGTGTCTGTATGTCCCTTTATGTGTGTCAGTTTATGCCTGTCTCTGTCAGTTTATGCTTGTGCCTGTATGTCCCTTCATGTGTGTCAGTTTATGCCTGTCTATATCTGTCATTTTATGCTTGTGCCTGTATGCCCCTTCATGTGTGTCAGTTTATGCCTGTCTCTGTCAGTTTATGCTTGTGCCTGTATGTCCCTTCATGTGTGTCAGTTTATGCCTGTCTCTGTCAGTTTATGCTTGTGACTGTATGCCCCTTCTTGTGTGTCAGTTTATGCCTGTCTCTGTCTGTCAGTTTATGCTTGTGACTGCATGCCCCTTCATGTGTGTCAGTTTATGCCTGTCTCTGTCAGTTTATGCTTGTGTCTGTATGTCTCTTCATGTGTGCCAGTTTATGCCTGTCTCTGTCTGCCAGTTTATGCTTGTGCATGTATGTCCCTTCATGTGTGTCAGTTTATGCCTGTCTCTGTCAGTTTATGCTTGTGCCTGTATGCCCCTTCATGTGTGTCAGTTTATGCCTGTCTCTGTCTGTCAGTTTATGCTTGTGCCTGTATGTCCTTTCATGTGTGTCAGTTTATGTCTGTCTATATCTGTCAGTTTATGCTTGTGCATGTATGTCCCTTCATGTGTGCCAGTTTATGCCTGTCTCTGTCTGTCAGTTTATGCTTGTGACTGTTTGTCCCTTCATGTGTGTCAGTTTATGCCTGTCTATATCTGTCACTTTATGCTTGTGTCTGTATGTCCCTTTATGTGTGTCAGTTTATGCCTGTCTCTGTCAGTTTATGCTTGTGCCTGTATGTCCCTTCATGTGTGTCAGTTTATGCCTGTCTCTGTCAGTTTATGCTTGTGCCTGTAAGCCCCTTCATGTGTGTCAGTTTATGCCTGTCTCTGTCTGTCAGTTTATGCTTGTGTCTGTATGTCCCTTCATGTGTGTCAGTTTATACATGTTGTAGTTTGTCACTTTATGGTTGTGCCTGGATGAAGAAGATTTTCCAGTCGCGGATGCCCCTTTTTATGTTGCGCAATACGCCATCAGCATGTACAGTTTATACAAATTTCATGTAAAGACACATTTGCTTACAGCTAAGCTCTTCAATCAATGTTTCACCATCACATGCCTGGTTAGATCATGCCAGAAAGTGTAGGGTGGACATTTAGCTGCTATCCCTCACTATGGCCTTCACAGGATGTCATCACACCTCCTTACTCATTGACACTTACTGGGCTAGGATTTTATAGAAAACATAAAGTGTCAGATGGTCGGCCCCTTAGGAACGAACAAACACTTACTGTTTTCATGAAACTTTTGTGAGTGGCGGGTGCAAGAGGAAGAATGAGTGAGTGAGTATGGTTTTACGCCGCTTTTAGCAATATTCCAGCATGTCACGGCGGGCAAGAGGAAGAGCAGGACCTGGTGTCATCACTGATTTTTAGTGATCAATTCTTATAATTTTGCCTTTTACGCCCGATGGAATCTATTTAGACAGTTAATCGAGACTAATTATTCTCTGGCGTTGATGGTTTGAAATAAGTGTGTTTGTGTCTATGTGTAACTTTATGTATGTGTCTGTTTGCAACTTTATGTATGTCTCCATGTTACTTTATGACTGCGTCTTTATGCAACTATATCCATAGCACGTTGTGTCAAGTCACAGTGTGGCATTTAATTTATGCATGAACATTAAAACCTTGTTTAACCGAACTCCTTCAACTCGATCTGTCGTCTAAAAGTATGTATTTTATGGTTCCGGTCTAGACATAGTAACCAATAGAAGTAACAGAAGAATTTATCAAGTAGACACTTGTTTGGAACTACAGGTACTAGATATGCGTTCGATGGTTCCTCCTACTTTGAGTGACCGTTTTCACTACAATAATCGGTACACACGACACTGCATGTTGTATTGTAATATGCACGCATCTGTACTACGTCACCTTTGTCTAATGCATTCGAAGACTGTGAAGACGTGGAATTAAAAGTAATTGACGTATCAGTGTGTCAGAATTACCTGGTATCGTGGACTTGAGAAGAAAGGTTTACAAACGCTTATTCTTGTTAAGAACTATTCCATCAACATGTGATCCTCGTGTGTGGATCAGTCGTATTTGACATGGAACGTTTAAAGCCAGTGAACAAACCGAATGCAAATATGCACGCTATTTTAACATAACATATTTACACAACGAAACTATACCTATATTCATAGATGACGCACCAGGAAGACAGTCCGTGCCAGAAAGGGATCATTTTGATAAAAAAGGATTAATACTTCCTTGTTCACCCAACAAATCACGATTTTTCATGATTATTCTACTCCTATATGTACTATTCAAATGATGTGTCATATAACAAGAACCTTAAACTTTTGGATGTATTCTCATAAACTTGACTCTCTATTGCCGTTAAACTTAAACATTTGCTCGTGTGATCCCTTCGTTCATATTTGGTGAGTGTTGATGGATCTCAGATTTGTATATTTCTCATGTACATAGTACATTTACTTGAGTGTTTTCACAATTTAACAATCTAGAAAACCTGTATAAGCATAAACTCACCTTTACTCCGCCACAGAAAAGCTGATTGTCGTCATAATTCCTGGGTGTATTGAACTGAAACCTCCACATACTGGACCGTGAGGGAGGGTCTACAAGCCTCCCATGCCCCCAGGCCCCCAGGGGAGACAGGGAACACAACAACACACAGGTATAAGCCTGCAACACAAGTCTACCCCCAGGCAACATGGCGAATCTATGTCCAAGCTACTTCTACAGCACGTCCGAATGAATCGAGTCTCGTGAGTCGTAATTAATAACCCCTGGAAGTCAATGCGGATGACGTTGGGGAAATGATAGCCCGAGTAGATATTTGAATGACGGATGATGTGATCACTGCGGAAATCTTGCTCACGCCCAGCTTGATTTATCCGTCACAGCGCCGTGTTGGGACGGCCAGCTGGACTACTTTCACCGTGAGTCAGATGTGTGACAGCGGTCGCTGGGTGACTGGATTTCAATTCACCTAGCCAGCACCAGCCTCCCACAACACACAGGTATCCTAGCGGAGGAGTGGCTCCAGCGAGGACTAATGATCAATTCAGCTCGGTTGGTCGGAATTTAAACATGGGTCCATGTCTTGGTCCAATAAACAAGCTTAATGAACTTACTTCCTGTGTGATAGCCCAACACTGTCGTTCGCGGAGGTTCCAACATCAAACTCCTGACTGTTAACCTAACATGTTGTCCTTCGCTGTTTGCCCAAAGCTGACACACAATAACTGCCTTAGGCACAGGTATGCGGTCGGTTGAAAGACACAAACATAATTCAACTCACAAAGATTCTTCTCGTCTTTAATTTGCTGTCGTTGTCCCAACTGACAAACTTGTTTTGTTTTCACGTTGAAATTCTAAGAAAGGTTCAATTTCGCAAGCAGGTGAAATAAAACCTTGGTGACTGCCGTGTAGGAGCGGTCACTGGTGTGGGTTACGCTGCACCACTGACGTTGTGACCCCTGCCTAGATTTACAGGTATACACGACATTCACATGGAAACGCCAGAAAATGTCTAGCTCTAATATATGTACATACAGAGGCCGTGAAGTTATCAGCGTGATTTAAATGATAGTTGCTCTGAATAACTGAATTATGTTGTTATCACCAAATATGTTTGATAAAATTTGTTTTGAAATATAACTTTGCACTCATGACTCACTTGTGACTATATCAACTTGATCTCGTCGCTATATGGCTAGAAAAATGCCGATGCGACGTTATATTTTAACTCACTCACTGAATAACTGACCAACTGAAGCAAATATAGTAGAATCTGCAGTTAATATAAGATACACATTGCATGAGCAATGTAGGTCCTTGTGTATGATATTATTGTGTAGGTTATTCCATCAATATTCAGAAGTTATTACAGTCTAATATTTTATTACAAGCGATCAAACACATACATGTATTAACATATACTGACACACTTTGAAAACAAATACTCGAAGTTTTGTTATATTTGGCAAAAAGGCCACAAAATAAAATGAAGTTGTTGAGGCATGAGATAATTAAACACAAGAATGTCGTCATACGGGATTCTAATCTCATTCGATGTGTGTCTATTTGTACTGCCAAATTCGTTTTCTAGTCACACATTTCGAGTTAAAGATGATTATGCGTTTTTAGTGGGTTTCAGTATATATGGTTACTGAGTGTAATGCTTATTGATTTGTCGAAAGAGTAACTCTTATGTTAAACTTGCCTGATCACGTTATATCTACAAGGAAATATCAACGAAATGCAACACACCCTTTACGTATTAATAAATTACAGTAGATTTTATTAAATGACCTCGAGGTCAATGTAGTACAGTGTTGTAAATCTGCTTGTATATCGTGTTCATACACAGTGTTATCCAACCTTAAACTTGATGGGTTGTGCAGTATTGTGCCGTGTTCAGCTGCGGTGTGTTGCACTGTTGTTATTTCACTGTATTGTGTACATACTGTGTTTTGTTATAATATTATATTGTGCTCTATTGTACCATATCGTAACACGTTGTGTTCTACTGTTACACACGTGTGTTGAATTACGCTGTGCTGTTTTGTGTTGTACTATGTTGTGTTGTGTTATACTACGTTGTGTTGTGTTGTACTACGTTGTGTTGTGTTGTATTGTACTACGTTTTGTTGTATTGTATTACGTTGTGTTGGGTTGTATTGTACTACTTTGTGCTGAGTTGTATTGTACTACTTTTTTGCTGTAATGTTGTGTGGTACACTGTACTTTGTTGTACTGCGTTTGCGTGTGTATTACTACGTTGTGTTGTGTTGTGCTGTGCTGTGCTGTATTGTACTACGTTTTGCTGTATTGTAATACGTTGTGTTAAGTTGTATTGTACTACTTTGTGCTGTAATGTTGTGTAGTACATTGTCCTTTGTTGTACTACGTTGGGGTGTGTATTATTACGTTATCTTGTGTTGTGTTGTGCTGTGATTCAACTGTTCTCTTGTAATGATTTGTGTTGTACTGCTTCTCATTGTAATATGCTGTAATGTATTGCGCTGCAATATCATGCTGTGTTTTGGTGTACTGAAACGTTATGATCGGTCTACACAACGACTTTGTCAGACAGGTTGACCGTGCTCTGCATCAGTTGTGTTAATTGTAATCACAACGCTTGTGACGCCATCCAGCTCGCCGTTTTTCCACCTGTATGGGGTATTGACTCCAGGCTAACTTGCCCCTTGCACTACAAATACAGACTAGGGGAACACTGTTGTTGGCCCAAGCTTCATCGTCTTTAAATAACACGCATGCAAAGCCAGCTAATGCATGTATGAATTTTGGCTTTCCTATAGTATCCAGTGTATCATATCGACCTTGAAAAATATGACGAATATCATACTCCCACGGGTGCAGTGCAATGTATGAATTTCAACTTTTTCTGATATGAATCTCGGGAGAACGTTTACGCTGAACACATGGCGTTGAATAGTGTGAAATGCCAGGTGATATTCTGTGGTTCAATTCGTCCTGGGATTACAATATCTTTGCAAATATGATGAATGTTTTCTCTGATGTGAGGTTTGAACTGTGGTATGTTTTCAAGGCACGAATCTCAGCAGACGAAATTATTACGTTACATTTAATGATTACTTAAGGTCTTAGTCTTTTATATTTTTTTATGTTAAATATCATAAAATAAAAATGTTCCTTTGTGGCGCTTTGTAGAACTTGTATTAACTGCACTGTGACTGGGAATACATTTTTAATTCTAACAGAAATAGAGCCGCATGCGTTTAGCTGTTTCAATTCATGCACTGGTTTGGCGCTGGATTGATTGTATTATATAAATGCATTTGAAACAATATTGTAACGTTCAATAAAAATGGAAATATGACAAGAATACAATTCCAAAAATAACGAATGATTTAATTAGGAGATGAAATCTGATGTAGTCGTACAATAGTTTAGTTACCTCTTACATATTCATTCCAAATTATAATAAGAAGAATCTAATCTACTGTTAGACTGCCTCAAATTTCAAGCCACAGAAGGTTATCTTATTGTACCGTAACGACAAGAGCGCTGTAAAAACGACGCTCTCTCAGAATGCGTACTTAACATGTGCCAACATTCCAACTATCCTATTATATGTACGTGACGAAATGGGGCCACAGGTAGTAGCAAACATACAAATATATTTGAACGTATGGGCTAGTTACAAAAATGGTTACAAAATATGTAGTCTTTCAAGAAGAATTAATTAAATACCTTGGACACTTCCTTTCTTGGAAATTAGTATGACATCTTGTAAAGGGTAACAGGTGATAGTGGCCATGGTTTACTTATTTTAAAGTTGTAGTTGAAATATACATTTGTTCACCCAGCAACGAATAGGTACCCGGTCGTGTGAGATGCAAAATGCATAGCAGCTAACAGGCATCTCGAGTTGTACACTCCACAGGGAGCCGAGAAAGCAATCGGATTCACACTGGTTAAAGATGATAACAATGTAGTACCACGAACACGCCATCGGGCGAGGACATGGCACATATTATGCATTAGCTTTCTTGTGCTATTCTTCTTCATCTTATCATCATAATAATGCTATTTGTCGGTTCTGTCAACTTTGACTTTGATTGACATTATTGAGCAACGATCCACATCGTCAGAGTACGATGACACGTAATCAACCATGTCACCGAGCCTGACCACCCGACCCATTCAGTCGACTCTTTCGACTAGTAAAGTTGCTGGGGACCTTTTGTAACCGGAATCCCCGCTGGGTTTCTGACCTCTGAATATAAACATAGCATCCGAATTGTGTAGCAACTGCAGGTTTATGATATATGGTTTCGTTTGCAAGAGGTTTGCTTGATAGAAACAACGACTGATAGAGCTGATACAATTAGAAGGGAGAATACCACATTAATATACGTACAAATATTAAAGTAAATCCATAAACCTAAAAATAAAACAGTGTTCTGCTACAGCTTTTTCATACAACAAATCCTGCACTGAGGATATCCAAACAGATCAATATTGGCTCTGTTATTACAGTTGAAGCCAGCCAGACTGGAAATTTCATTCGTTCACAAAGATATAGAACTAAATATAATTTAAATTAAAAACTATAATGTAAGAAGTATTTTCAGAGTGCGACACTTTTATTCAACTAACATTGTAATTTCAAACAGATACTCCACTGCCTTTGTAGATGGTTCTAAGAATGAACCTGGTGATCGTAACAGCGCAGTGTACCAAGGATGAAGACAAAAGAACAACATAGGTAGTTGCTGCTGTTATAACTAAAACTATATATATATCACTTGTTTTATATTGATAAATAAAACATGCCTGTAATGAAGTACAAAACTTGAAATATTGAAAACATTCTTGTCGCGTAAATATTATTTGTTGATTTGTATAATCATCACACATGTTTATATTGTCATCTGTGTGTGGAATTGCAGGAATTAGAGCTAGTTGCAATGAAATCATGACAAACAACTTCAAAAAATAAATTCAAGTGACATGTTCATACCTGTCCTTATGGTTGTAGCGCACTGGCATGTTGATGTGGACACGCTACTTTCTAAAACATTCCTCAAAGCAATCGACACATTAAACAAGACCGTGTACATGGTCCAGATCTGGTTTCCAATTGCAATTTGTGACTTGCCCCTAAAACCTGAATACATGGCTATTTCTCTGTTGTACTTGATTCCAAAGCTCCAGAAAAATTCGTTCAAAGAAAGATATATTGCTGGGTCGAGGTAAAGTATCACCAAATCCCAGCCTAAAGGCATAACCTTTATCCTTTATACAATTAGGTAGGCGTTTCTTAATATTCACAAGAAAAAATTTGAGACAAGTGATATTAATACCATGTGGATGCTCAAAATCTCAAAGGATTTACTTGAATTTTTGTAATCTCAGACTTTGTTCAATTTTGTCAAAACCTTTGATTTTTCAACTTTGTAAGCCACTATCCCACATGACGAACTTCAGGAAAAGCTTTATTCCTTTATCTATTGGGCATTTGTCATTAAAAGTGGTGACCATCTCTATTTTTAAAGGTTCGGGACAAGTTGTCAAAAAATGAAAGCAAATGTCATCTGAAGTTTGATCTAAAGTTTAGTGAGGAGCTGTGAAATGCTGGACTTCCTCACAGATACCATCCATGGGGGTGGGGACGGCAAGACGCTGGCATGCCCATGGGCACCAACGGTGCTCCCTCATGGTTTAACTTACGCTTCAAGTATTGATCTTTTGATATC